AAGGAAAGGTACGTCTTAAGTATTTTATTGCTCCGGGGTCCTTAATAAATATTTTAAACCAATAAGGTGTTGGTAAACCAAAGAGGCGACTATGCCTCTCTAAAATGTAGAAAGTTTGGTGATAAATTTATCTTCTCAAACAGTAGTTTTTTGTTTAATTTTATACAGCAAACCTGTATACCACACTTTATCAAAAGTTTGTGTGATGTTCAAGAAGACTGCAGAACAATAGCGTTTTCCCTCCAAATCCTGGTTTATGATATTAACAACTCTCTGCACCTGGCACCAGCATGTTTTTGTCAAAAACCAAATTGGTAGTGAGGAACTAAATAGTTTGTTTTCTTCTAGGAAAGAAATCAATTTTTTTATTGTTAGCTTCTCAACAATTTTGGTAAATATTGGTAATAGAATAATAGATCTATATGAAGGTACGGATTTAAGGTTGGCCCATTTTATAAATTAAAATAACTTAAGGCTCATCCTCGAAAATCCTAACGGTAAATTTCAGTTTGCTATCTCTATTTCAAAAATTTCTTTCTTTACGAAAACAAAATCTGTTCATGAAGTAATATTCTAAACTTTGTTTAGATATCTCTCTCAAGCCCAGGTCAAAAATGCGTTCATCTTTTACTCGAGCCGATTATACACCGAGACAACCCCTGCAGTGACAGGTTTTGGCTTACAATAAAACCATAAATCTCTTTAGTGGTGTTTTGAGTAAATATAATAACAGATCAAAGTAATATAATCTATTCATAAATTTACAATGTAACAAATGTACATACATAATTTATTTGTTATTTTTTTAAGGAAAAATTGGCTGTCTGAATTTTAACGTAGATTAAAGTTTACGGAAAATAAAAATTATAAAAAAAGATTATTATTATATATCATAAAAATTTGATTAGTATCACGATCATTAAAATTGATAAAATGAAACTATATAAATATAGAATTGTGTCTAATGTTTCTTCAGAAGGTGTTTCAAATAAAAATTATAATAAAAATCTTGAAAGTTTTGTAGCATATTTTCCCACAGTTCCATATCAATCTTTTAGAATAAAATATTTTTCGGGGTCCATACCGCAAACTAACAGTATTCTCTATTCGATATAAATAACAAATAACTGTCCTTGCACTGGATAGTAATAGGAATCAGTTTTTTTTAAAACTTCTTGTAGGAAGGAATAATTTAGTCACTCATTTCCAATTTTGATTTTTAATATTGAATTTGATAGGTTGTGATTTATTACAACAAAATCTAATAAAATATAACATGACACAAGAAATAGTTTCAGAGTAAGTTTGATGTGTTGTTTATTATCATTCAGTAAGAGACTAATTTACTTCTTACAATCCTAATCTAACAGACAATTATTATTGTCAAATGAAAGAAATAAGATAATTTACTTGTGTGCTTGTGGTTAGTAAACGTCGGCCCTATGCAACTAATTGTCAACAAAGAACGGATTGCAAAAGTTTAGATTTATGAGATTTATGAGGAGCATTTATGAAACTTAGATGTATACTGAGTACTTATTTCAAAAATGTACAACTAAGGATTTAATTTGTTATTATGTAAATATACTCCTAGATCTAGAGAAAATGGGAGTGCGACAATGGGAATTACTGGCACAGGACCGACAAACATGGAAGGCAATAGTAACCGCGGCAAAGACTTACGAAGAGTTGTAGCGCCATTGATGATGATGATGATGATGATGATGAAATATACTGCATAACTATTTATATGGATGTGAAATATGGATCATGAAGGATAATATGATGGACATTTTAGGATGAACGTTGAAAAATTAAGGCAAATATCGAGCACAAATTTAATAATCAAATCTTGCCTAAGTACTTTCGCTTTCTACAGCATCATCAGAGGCATCTGAAATAAGCCAAGAAAAGCTTTTTTAAATGAAGAAAATTAATAAACTTCGATTAAAAACTCGAAGTTAATGGATGATAAAAGTTTTTTGTGATTAACATTTTAGACTTACTCAAATTTGGGCTATCCAGCAAGCGCAGAGGCCCCTGATGATGCTGTAGAAAGCGAAAGTACTTGGGCAAAATTTGATTATTAAATTTGTGCTCGAAATGTGCCTTCATTTTTTAAAGTTCATTTATTCGAGCATTCAACCTTATATCAATAATTTAGGATGTGATTCAGGTATATGATAAAGTATGGCAAAGACGCCATAACTATAAACTAAGACTGCATTTACCAAAACGATACTCTCAAATAATTGACTCCTGCATCTTGGAAAGATATTTCAGAATTAAACAGGAAGAAACATACACGGAATTGACAGATATTACAGCAGGGCTGTCACAAAGAAGTGTCTTTACCTTTTGTATACGTGTTATATTATTGTCCTAGAAAATATACAATTGCAACATTTACCGAAGATATTGCTATCATAGCAATAGGCAAAACCAGCGAGGAAGCTACAAAGAAATTACACAGATGTTAATCAAATATATACTCCAGGGAAATAAGCAAAAAATAGACCATGTTCGTGACACTCAATAATCCAGGTCGCTGACAACTTTTTTAGTTATTGTAGACCTCTAGGAAGAAAACCTACTTCGTTTCTTGCCTTGAATTTGGAGCTGTTTTTTAATTATTGACAATTTAATGCAAAAAACGCGACTGTTTCTATGATATTGATACTAGTATTAAAAAAAAATAGATTTTTGGAAGAAAATTGTTTTGCACGAATTGTTTAAACAAACTAGACTATTTATTAATTAATTAATATATAAACAAATTACTAATTCCTAATGTACGTAGAAATAATACAATTAAAATAATCATACAAATAAAAAATAGAATGATCAAAATCCATTGAGTAGATCCGGAGATATAGAAAATTTTATTAGTTTGAAATTGCTTGTTCGGTTTGGATTTGTAGGTTCTTCCTAGTCACCATTTGAACTACATTTTTAAAAATTCGTAGAGGGTCCTGTAAAGGTACAATGTTTGTGCAAATTTTTTAACAAAAAATACAAATCCCATTCCTTAACATGGCAAACAATGAGGTTCCTTAATTATTATAATCAAATTAGCTGTGAATTATCATCTTTTCTTTGACTTGATCTACTACTTGTTGTAATTGGTCGTAAAACACTTCTCTTGTTGTTTGAGGCTTATTATTTTCTAGGCCGTATACTCCGATAATGTTCAGGTTTTCCTTCTCCATTCTTATCTTTGATGTTACTATTCTTTCTGATATGTATTGACACTCTTTGATGTAATTTTGATACCTTTGGTGTATTAGTAAGGCTACACCTTCTTTGGCCCTGTTTTCTTTTGCTACTGCACTGTAGATTAGTATGTATTCACCTAATTTTGATTGACCTTTTCCTTTATTTTTTGTTTGTTGTAGAGCACAAATGTCTATTTCTTTCTCTTTCAACACTTGGGTTATTTCTTGGTCCCTTGAGTTGAGTGATCTGATATTCCAAGTAATTCTCATCTGGGTTTTGGATGTTTTTCGCTTGTCCTTATTTCTTGCCGTAGTCGTCTTCATAGTATCAATCCGGTTCCGAGACTGTACATTGTTTCTTTGAGCAGTATTTGATTTTACGATTGGTAGGTTGCTAACCAATAAATATAAATAATTAAATTTCATATTCAAATACTGCAAATATTGGTTATTACTCTGAGCTCATGTAAAGAAGAAAAGAAAATAATAATTCTGATTGAAATACAAAAAAAATGTACTGGATGATTGACCAAAACTCTACGCTGTTTCTATATAATAAATTATTATTATATAAGCAAATACTGAAACAATTGTATTATTATAAAAACAGTATAAAATATTTAGAAAGAAAATGGAAAATCAACAGAAAATATTTCTATTCATATAAAAATTTAATAAAATTATAGGTACTTACTGCTTATTTATATAACATTTCCTATTTTAAATACAATAAACACACTGGTTTGTCAAAAGTCGGAATAAGCCCTAATAATGTTATTCAACTTTATTTATCCTCCTCCGAGGGTTTTACCTACCTGGCGAGAATCCAGAAGCTACCGACAAGGACAGCCTGTGCTGACGGAGAGAAAATTGCATTTAGCAGAAATTTGAAATTTTTTAAAAGTTTATATCAAATAGCTGCTTTGTGTTACACTTTATGTTAAAAATAAAAACAGATTCGGAAAGTGGGTCAAATTCTGTAGTGCTCTATTTAAAAAAAAAATTTACGTTTATTTTAACCAAAAATATTTGAAAAAAAAAATATTGTTTAAACAATTTATTAATTTAGAACCAAATAGTGCACTAGAACTTTTTTAGACCTTCCATATAAAAAAAGAATCATCTCAATATCTGCCATAGTTTTTGCGTTATTTGATATAAACTTTTACATTGGAATTTACCTATTCCCAGAATCGCGAGGATCGGCCTTAAACCACTTTTCCTTAATTAGAAATGTGATTTTATTACAAACAATAAATGTGGCTTAATGCCGTACAAACATAATATTTAAATGATAATCTGTAATATTAAACTCAGTTATACCTGGCAATTATTTTACAACAATGTTTAATTACCTTATCAATCTTTAAACTTTGTGACAATATTTACCTAGTAGGCTGCACTTTAGGTATTAAAAGCTTAACACTTATTTTAAATTTTATTTTTAGACACGGAAATTGTAGTATCGTTAAAATTCTAGTAATTATAATACTTCCCTGTTGATTCAGTCTCCACAGCATATAAAAGAGGTGAAAATATGACAATTTGTATCAGTTTAATAAAGACATTAAAGCAATATTTAACAAAAAATTACAATGGCAATCAAGAATTTGTTTTTAGTAGTTATTTTGGCTGTTGGTATTCATGTTTCGAGAGGCAATAAAGGTAAATTAAATTAAATATCCTAGACTAACGAGAATAAAATATTTTTGGATTGATTTATTGTTAACATGCTTGTAATATAATAGCATTTTCTCAAATATTAATTTTAGTATTTTGTTTTAGATTCTCATTTGTCGGGTCTAATTGACATAGTTGATGATATTCTACCAATATTCAGTAAGTACATTTTAAGATATACTTTTCATAATCTGTGTGAAATATATTTAGTAAACATTTTTATATATAATTCATAAAAAAATGACGCCCAAGATAAAAAGAAAACTACTAAAAAAATAACATCCAGAAAAAAGTAAAAACAGAGATTAAGAAGAATTTTGCAAAAACAGTTAAAGACACTACGGAGAAATGTACGGAAGTTGAAACACTACAACGCAAACATGCCGATTTCCATATGCACAAAAAAATTAAAGAGGTACAGAATACCAGAAAACAACGCAATACAGGCATAGTTGTAGATATTTTTTGTCCAAAAAGGCCAGATTTTGACTACCATTAAAGATAAATTAAGGAGATGGAAAGAATATAATATGCAAGAATTATTCAAAGATGCAGCACGAAGTCCGACTGAAATAAACAATCCTTTTGGCTCAGAAATAACACACGAAGAAAAAAACTATGACCATTAAGCAGATAAAAGATGAGAAATCACCAGGACCTAATGAGGTGCATAATAAAATTTTAAAGCTATTAGAGGTACACCAAATCACAGCTCTTATGAAACTATTCAACAACATCTACGAGACTGGTTACTTACCAAAAGATTGGCTACTATCAATATTTATTCCACTTCCTTAAAAACCAAACGCTAGAAAATTAAAAAAACAAAAAACATAACCTGGGACAACAAGTATGCAGAAATAAGCTCAATGGTAGGAGGATCTAGGTCCAGACAAGCTTGGAAAACTATCAACAGTCTTAGAAAAAATACAAACGAAACAAAAAAAATAAACCCCATAGACAAAGAAAGATGGAAAAATTATTATGAAAATCTATTAAATGAACAACGTACACAGTTTCTAGACACACACATAGATAGAGTTGAAACGGGTTAAATGAAGTGGCGATGATTACCGTAGAAGAAACAAGAAACGCATTACAAAAAATGAAAAATAATAAAGATCCTGGCCGGGTGATTTACCTATCGATTATTCAAACATGCCACTGCAATAACATTAGAATTGCTTTGTAAAATGTTTAACAAGTACCTACAAGGAGAAAGTATCCCAAGAGATTGGAAAGTCTCGTACATAAACTCCATCTACAAAAAGGGAAACAGGAATAACTGCAGTAACTACCGAGGTATCACCATTACGTCATCCACTGGCAAACTGTATGAAAGAGTTCTGAAAGCCAGAATAGAAAAAGAAGCCACAGAGATCGAAGAACAAAGTGGATTTGACCAGGGAGATCTTGTGTCGACAATGTATTTACTCTCAAACATCTAACGGAAAACAGATTAGCAAGAGGACTAGAACTTCATGCCACTTTTATAGATCTCCGTAAAGCGTTTGACTCCGTACCACTGCAGAGACTATGGACAACATTGGAAAACGCAGGTATAAATGCAGTATATATAAATGCCGTGAAAAAGCTATATCAAGATAACCAAGCTTATATTAAGGTTGGAAACCAAATTTCCAAGGGTTTCACCCAAACAAAGGTGTCAAACAGGGCTCTTGCCTCTCCCCAACCCTATTTAAAATATATCTTGGTAATGCTTTAAAATATTGGATGAGAAAATGCAGCCCAATGGGCATATGGGTAAATGACACTCCTATATACACAATCCTCTTCGCAGACGACCAGGTAGTTCTTGCCGAGGACCTACAAGATATGACGTACATGATAAACAAACTAATAGACGAATTCAAAAAATGGGGATTAGAGGTTAATACCGAAAAGACACAATACATGAATATAGGAGGCATCGGTCAAGACATGGAAACAGAAAGCGGATTAATTAAAAACGTTGATCAGTACGAATATCTCGGAGTTACACTAAGCGAAGACGGGAGAGACGACAAAGATATAACAAGAAAAATAGAAAAGGAAAAAACATGATAAAAACACTACATCCGATCCTGTGGAATAAAACTTTAACTAAGAAAACAAAGAAAAATATATATCAGGCTATGATTCAGCCGGTGCTGACGTATGGGTCAGAAGTGTGGGTCTTTAACAAGAATATGTCACAAAAACTCCTCTCAACGGAAATGATGTACTGGAGAAGATGTTCCGGGTTAACTTGTTAACTTATGTTTGACCACATAAGAAATGAAAACATAAGAGAGAGAATGAAAGTAAAGAACACAATAATGGATACGATAGCCGAAAAACAATTAAAATGGTATGGACACCTGAGACGGATGAACGAAGAAAGATACCACGAAAGGTTTGGAACTGGAGACCTACACAGAGAAATAAAAGGGGAAGGCCAAGAAAGAAATGGATATCCAATATTCATATAGAAATGAAAATAGAGGTCTTCAAGAAGGAGACTGGCCGATAAGAAATTATGGCGATTGGGATGCGAGAAGCGACAAAATTAAAGTTGCAAACACTCGCTATATATATATATAAATATATATGTTGAACAATTATCCGGGAAAATATCCGTTGGTCATTTTTTAATTGCAGACGTTTCGCCAAGTCTCACTTGGCATCTTCTGTGCGTTGTCTTCGGTCTCGTAGTCGTAACTGAATGAGCTGCGCTCATCCTCACTTCTTTTATATCGTGCGCTGTCGAGCGGATCGTCGCTGATTGGCCGTATTCGTTACGACCGCTAGGCCCCGCCCCCTGGGAGCGAAGCTCAGGCAGTCAGTTTGATGTTGGCGTCTCGAGATTAATGGACTTCCAACTTGGGGCAGATTTAAGAATCGTCACGTTTGTTAAGAAGACTTCTTTTCAATTTCTATAGAATCTATCGTATATAATATATATATATATATATATATATAATATAATATATAATATATATAATATATAAAATAGTATAATATATATATATAATTATATATAATATTTATTATATATATATATTATATATATATATATATAAATATTATATATATATATATATAATAGTATATATTATATATATATAATATATAAAGTTATATATATATATATATAATATATAATAATAATATATATATATAAATATATATATATATATATATATAATATATATATATATATATATATAATATATATATATATATATATATAATAAAGAGAAGGAGAAAGAAGAGAGAGAAAATGTAAAGAACATAGATTAATTATTTTGATGAGCCATGTACTTAAAGTATTCCTTATTATCATTTACTGCGCATATACACCAAATAAGAAGAAAATAGCTGAGTGAAGTTCAATTTGGATGCAGAGCAGGACTCGGAACAAGGGAAGCACTTTTCAGTTTGCAAGTACTAAGACGAAGAGACAAGGATGTCAACTGTGATGAGTATGCATGTTTCATTGATTTCGAGAAAGCATTTGATGAACTCCCATATGGGAAACTAAACAAAATCCTAAAAACAATCAGGACTCGTTGTAAAGATATAAGACTGATCTCAAACATATATCTTCAGCAAAAAGCTAGTATGATTAGAAAATGAACTTTTCGAGATCTTTACAGTCAAAAAAGAAGTTATACAGATTTGTATAATGTCACCGGGATTATTTAACATATACTCTGAAAACATTAATCATTAGTAAGAACACCAACATAAATGCCCAAATTACAATAGGCGATACACCGTTAGAAAGAGTGGAAAAAATAGGCTATTAGGGCTACAATATTAAGGATATATACATAGTACAATAGCTACAATAGCTAATACTACAATAGCATGGTATAGAAAGACCTCAACACAGCTATTTGATCGCCAACGTTCGGAAGGGACAGGCACCCTAAGAAGAAGATTACGGATACTTGGGATCATAGCTACGAAATAAAAACTCGCATTGAAAAAGCCAAAAGCTCTTTCAACAGCCTTAGGAATATTCCTTGCAACTTATCTTTAAGTATTATAGCATGAGAATTCTTAGATGTTACGTTTTTATTGTCCTCCTTTAGTGGAGAAGAAAGCTGGAGCCTTGCGGAAGATGCCATTAAACGATTAGAAGCATTTGAAATGTGGTACTACCGACGTATGTTAGGGTCTCATATATACCTAAGTAACATACGTAAGTAACATAACTATTCTCGAGAGGCTAACGAAAGACAAAGATATTATTAACACCATAAAAAACAGAAAATTGGCTTACTTCGGCCACATCATGCATATTGATCAATATCGGCTTCTACAATTGATTCTACAAGGCAAGATTAAGCGTAAAAAAGGCCCTGGACGTAGACGTATATCTTGGCTGGCAAGTCTTAGGAAATCAACTGGTCTAATTTCAACTGATCTATTTTGAGCTGCTGTAAATAGCATAAGATGGGTCAATGTGGTCGCCAATATCTCTAAAAGATAGTCATTTTTAGAAGAAGAAGAATATTTTTAAAGGAGACTTCTTAATTAACCAGCTTATAGCTAGTTTTTATGTAAAACAAGAGAACATATTTTAGGTGTTCATTAGCTGTACATTAACTATGTTGTGTTCGATATATTAATGAATCATATAAAATTTTTATTTTTATATTTAATTATCGAAATATACATCTCATATTCATGACAACTTTCTAATAATAAATTTTATTTGTAGATAAATGCAATTGTGAAAAGCAATTAGATGGAATATACAGTCAAGTACATCAAATTTACAACGACATATCCGAATTAAGCTGCGAAATTGACGATATAAAAAAAGATATGGACAATCTAGAACACAAAACTTGCGGACAACATTCCATTCTTACCTCACTTAAAGTTGAACTTGGTGAAATCAGGAAAAATCAAACAGAAACACTCAATTTGCTTAATGTACAAACGACTTTCTTACAAAATATTATGGTTAACTTAAAAGAAATGGAAGATGCAGAAAGTAAAATAGACAACCATGTTGATAAACAAACTGGCAGTATACACAACTTATACCAAATAGTATTTAATGCTCAAATTTGTTTAAAAAAGTAACTTTAGCTAATATTATTTTATTTATTTGAATTATTTAAGCTGATATTCAGTTTTCGAATATAGATGTAAACCACATTGAAAATATATTCTTTTTATTTAAATTTGATAGTGTATTTTTAAAGGTTTATATGAATAATAATATGAATAACAAAATATTAAAACACGTAGCAGAATACCATATGAATTAAGTAGAGCAATCTTGCTAGTGAGCTCTTAAAAAGTAGATAGCTATTTGGTTACTTATAGAAGGTTTTCCGACATTCTATGTTTAAATATTCAATTGAAATATTCAATAATATTTAACTAAAGACTAAAATATTAATGAAATATTCAAATAGGACTCACCAAATTAAAGCTTTACTGATCAGTTATATAGATAATATCAGAGTTTAAGTGAAAGTGCCTTAAAATCTATGGAATGCAAGTAAATGAGGAGAAAACTAAGATGATGGCATCAACACCCAACAATAGAGTCAGGAACATCGGTCTCCAATTCACAGTTGATAACTCTACCTTAGAAGTGGTGGACAAATTCACATACTTAGGCTCCCTGATCACCAAAGAGAACGCCATAACGGAAGAAATCAAGCCCAGGATAATAATGGCATACAGATGCTATTTTGGACTGATTGGACATATGAGAAGTAGAAACTTAACCAAAAAAACAAAAATAACCATATACAAAACCCTTATACAGCCAGTGTTGACATATGGATCGGAGACATGAACCATCTCCAAGGCAGACGAAGACCTTCTGCTTATATTTGAACGAAGGATCCTGAGAGGAATATTTGGTGGCATCTGCACCAAAGTCTTGGGCACTACTGAGGATACATAAAAGTCCTTTCCCCTTTTAAATTTAAATGTTTGTTTCGTCCCTTCTAAGTGTTTTCTGTTTTAGTGGTTTTAAATTGTCCTTAATTGTTTTAATTCTAATATTTTATTTACTTGAGTTTGCAATAATCTACTATTTGCCAATAGAACTTTATCAAAGAAATTTGATAATTACAAATTAAAAAATTATTGCACACCCACACAATTTGTACATCTAAACTTATTCATTGTCATAAAACTGTTACCTTCATAAAACAATTACTCAATAAATAACACACATTTCATAAATATATCTCTCGAATAAGTATAAATAACTTTTAAATAATACAATGGTATATACCATCACTTTCATTTAACAAACAATCACACACATATCTCTGCTTCATTGGATCAAATCTATCTCCTCAAGAACTTCCCGTTTACTGTCAAACAACTACAATAACAGAATTGAGTTCTCCATTCAAGAATACATAGTAGTTTCAACCATGTTCTACCATCCAACAAATAATAGAGTACCGGCATGTAAGTAATCTTTATTTATTTGCTCATTTATTAATTTATTACAATCTAATAGACTATTTTATAACAATTTGTGGGCCTTACCTTGTCTGTTTAAACTTTTAAAACTATTTATACCTTTTTATTTAACTTACTCATTTTGAAATAAACCACAGACATGTAATATTGCATAATTATTGTAATTTACAACATCTAATTTGTTTGTCTTTATTAGACAACACCCTAATATGGGTTTTTATCATTTCAGCATTTATTTAACTTTGTATCGAGACCTGAAGATGCTTTGCATATTGTAGAAAGCAAAACCGGTCGTCTAATAGTTAAATTAAATTGATTGTGATTAAGTCTTATTTATTATTTCTTTACCTATTTGAAATGGACTCACACAAGCAACACATTCATGATTATTTAATTCTCTTTGGTAGTCTTATCTACACATTCCCAAAACCTTTTGTCGAGATTGTCCATACAAAATACTCTTGTGTCGGTATCGTTAAAAAGTGTTAATGTTTCGAAATGTCTTTAGCGCTGTGACGGTTAAAAGGACACAAATGCAAATGCTGTTATTTGTGCCGTAGAAATTTATGAATATTGAGGTTTGTGTGGGACGAAAACGTCTTATAAGGAATTGTAATGTTTTGTGATGATTTGCTGCTAATTAGTCTAAAGGCGTTAAAGATACTATTTCTACGAAAGACGAACTATCTTGTTAAGATTTTAATAATTACTTTTGGTCCGAAAAAAAAAACGCCATAATAATAAATTTTGTTTGTAGATCGTGTTTATCGCGAACTATTTGCTGAGGAACAAAATACAAAAACATCAGTTGATATTTCCATTTGTAAATATAGAGCTCCAATTGCACAATCAGAACGACGCAGTCTCACACTTCAACAGAACCTACCTGGTCAAATAAGCAAAAAATTCAATCCAAGATCCGGTAAAGAAGGAGATGATCATGTAAAATACGAGGCCAATTCCAGGTCGATAGCAAACAAAATCCTCGTTTAGATAATAAAATTCCACGTGTAACAATACACAAATGTAGACCAATAAGACTTGCAACATGGAAAGTACGAAGCTTGTATCAGCCAGAAACATTAGACAATTTAATACAAGAAGTGACTTAGTCACTTCATGTATTAAAGAAGTTGAAATTAATGAAAATAAATATACTGGTTAAGTGACGTACAATGTCCAGACAATGGCAAACTTATAACCAAAAACAGCATGATGTGTTATGCTGGAAACAATGATCCGGCTTATCGGATAAGAATAAAGAGGAGATAGAAAATTTTTACATGTATTTACATACAACTTTAAGATCTATTAAACAGAAAGACGTTACAATAGTCATGGGGGAATTTAATGCTAAATTCGGGAGAGTAAAAGTTGACAATTATGTTGAAGAATTACGACTAGGTGATAGAAACAAAAGAGGGATTTTTGTCAAAATTAACATTTTGACAAAACAGTGAAGACAATGTTCCAACTACCCGACAGAAGATTATACACTTGGATATCTCCTGCAGACAACAAAAACCCTATAGTCAGAAATTAAATAGAGTATATATTAATCAAAAAAAGATACAAAAACTCAATTAAAACAATAAAAGTATACCCCGAAGTAGATGTCAACTCAGGCCATAATCCGCTGATAGCTAGAATGCACGTGAAACTCAAAAATATTGTACTACCTAAAAATAAACAAACGTTTGATTATACAAAATTAAAAAAAAAAGAGAAATGCATCAAAAAGTAATCAACAAGTCAACTCAAATATAAGAGAAGTAGGAAAAGAAATCTGAACATCAGAAGATGTCAATGAAAAGTCAAGCAATATTCAGAAGGCATAACTAAAGGTTGCAGAAGAAAATTTAAAGCTTGAAAAGACAAATAAAAATAGAAGTGTATGACTTCAGAAATTCTAGCATTAATGGAAGAAACGAGAAAAGCCAAAGAAGAAATGTGCCAAAACATCAAGAACGTCAAAACAGAATTAAAGAAGCGACAAAAAAAGCCAAGAAAATGTGGTGAACTGATCAATGCATAGAAATAGATGAGTATGACAAAATATAGGATAGCTTTAATATGCATAAAAAAATAAGAAAACTAACAAATATCAAAAAGCAAGCACATTATGAGATACTCAAAAATGATAATGGTAAACTCATTGCAGACATCAAATATAAACTAATATTTTGGCAAGAATACACAATGAAACTATCTACGAAGATAGAATGATACAAGAAGAACCAGAGGAATGAACAGGACCGAAAATAATAATGTGCGGATTAGAACAGGCAATTAGAAATGCAAAGATCGCAAAATCAGTAGACCGAGATCAGATACGAACTAAGCTAATTCAATGCATTGACAAAGAAACACTGCATATACTTCTAGATCTGTTCAACAAAGTATATAAAACAGGAATAATACCCGAATATTGGTTGATGTCCACGTTTGTTATATTTTTCAAAATAATACATGGAAGACTATACAAAAAAAAAGAAGACATATATGACACCCAGTTTGGATTCAGAGGATGACTAGGAGAGAGACACTGTTCGCTTTTAACATTCTCGCGCAAAGATGACTAGATATGAACCAGGATCTCTATGTCTGCTTTATAGATTATAAAAAGGATTTTAATAAAGTACGACATCAGAAACTCGTAAAACTATTAAAGGAAAAGAATGTGGATAGTTAAGATAAACGGGTTATTATCAATCTGTACTGGAATTAAGAAGGAAAGGTTAGAATAGAAAATGTCGATACGGAAACTATATAAATCAAACCAGATGTTAGACAGGGTTGCGTGCTATCCCCATCGTTATTCAATCTGTATATAAAGCGATATTAGAGGAACAACAGGGTATATCAATAAACGGAAAAATCTTGACTCCATTGATTTTGCAGACAGTCTAGAAGCACTGCAATGCTTAGTAATATAGATTACATCAAGCCAGCATCAAATATGGACTACAAATAAACATTAAGAAAATTAAGTGCATGATTATTTCTAAGCAACATATAGTAGAAAAGCTACATATCAAGGGAGAACAAGGAGAAAGAGTAAATAACTGCAAATATCTGGGAACCTGGGTAAATGAAAACAATGATCAAGGTAGAGAAATAAGGGCAGGCATTAAAATTGCAAGACAGCATTTATAAAAATGAAAACAATCTTTGCTAATCGAGACGTTCCTCTGGATCTGAGGATAAGAGCCTTCAGATGCTACGTGTTCTCGACTTTGTTGTATGGAATGGCAAGCTGAACACTAAAAGTGAATAATATAAAGAAGTTGAAATCATTTGAGATTTGGATATATAAAAGGATTTTGAAAATATCATGGACCCAACGAGTCACAAATGCATAAGTGTTAAGAAGGGTACAAAAGGATTGCGCGGTCCTAAAGCACATCAAAACAAGAAAGCTGGAATATCTATGCCACATTACCAGAGGTGCGAAATATTATAAATTAAGGCTCATAATGCAAGGTAAAATCAAGAGTATACGATCCATAAGAAGATGAAAAATTTTCTGGCTAAGAAACCTAAAAGAGTGGTATAGTTGTAGCTTAGTAGATCTTTTCAGAACACCCGCCAATAAGGTACGGATAGCTGTGACTATCTATTACGAGAAC